AGCCACTACCAAACGTGCTAACCGGGCAGCAGACCCAGGAAAACTCCCTGTGGGTCTACGCATCGGTCCCTGGGAGAGTTTTTTGTTTTGTTTAACACTTGGACCCCATTTATGACTCAAGCATAACTTCCCTTGGCGTTAAAGTAACTGGGAACTGAGATGAATTGCCCAATTTTTAATTACATTTGGCCTCTTTGCACCCCGTGTTGTAAGCGCCCTGTGTATCAGGGCAGCGTGACAACAAGTGATCTGTCGTCGGCTGTTCTGAAAGAGCTTTGGTGTCTGCACAGTTTACAGTCACTAAAATAAGGGGTTCTACCTTTCTAAGAATCTAACACACACACTCTGTGTGTGGCTCTACAAATAATGTGACCGTCACAGGAAAACATACTGGACTGAGTTTCTTGACTATTCATACACCCTCTAACCTGTCCAGCTGTCTCTGGCTCTCCAGGCATCAGACTCCATTTTGAACATGGATTTCTTTTTTCCTTTCTGGAGTCTCTTATTCTCTCCATTGTATTCATTCACAGGAGGGAAAAAAAGACCTCATAAATGTCATTTCATATTCCAAGCAATTTGCTATAGGCAACCACACCATTACTTTGTACAAATAAATTTACATAAATCATTATTAGAATGTTTTATCTTAGCAACATTATTTGGTTCCCAGAGCACAAATTAAATGCATGCTTAAAGCAGAATATTTGAAAGTTATCCCTATATTGTTTATGACACGGGATTAGAAATTTCCATCTAATTTTTCTTTCATAATAGAATTCCTTTAGTTTTCTTTGTACATTTAGGAACCACATGCATAATTTTCCTGAGTGGGGTGCGGTTTGAAGCAAGCAATGCAATAGATGACTCTGCCACATTTGGTTCATTTTTCAGGGACTGTTCCCTTTGATTCCATGGGGTCGGTTTTGAACAGTGATTAGGAAAGCCAGGAACCAGGGAAATTAATACCATCTCATGAGTAGATGGGTTTCTGTTTGATATTATTCTACAAGCAAGCTGGTCTTTGGTTGTGATTTGGCTTTTTTTTTTTTTCCACTAAACAAATTTGTAAATAAACTCCCTGAAAATGGAGCCCAGTTTCTATTTGCTGTGTCCGAGAGAAGCCTGTTTGGATCAACTGCACGGTACATGGCAAGTCTTCACCGGCTGGAGTTCCACCCGACCCTAGATTTCAAAATAACATCTTTTCTCCCTAAGTAAAATGCAGTGCCCATTTTTAAAACAAGCTGCAGTTGTCAACAACAGGGAAGAGGGTGGAAAGGGACCTCCTCGTAGTCAGGAGCTGTGCTCGCCAGCCCTGGTCCTGCTACCTGCTGGCTCTGTAGCATCACTTCCTGATTCTACGACTGGCCTTCTCATTGGGGTCATCAGGGGCTGGACTCACCAATCAGGGCTGCGAGCTTCCACCATGGCGTGGTCCAGGAACAGATCCCCAGGCCAGTGTTAGGGAAGCGGGGCCCCACCTGGTCGAAGGCCCAGTCCTTGTAAAGGATGAGCGAGGCAGTCACACGGCGCACTTAAGAGCAGGCCAGACCTGGGTTCAGAGCAAAGCGGTGCCACTCGCTAGCTCTGTGATCACGCACAATTTAAAGCTTTCTGCATCTGTTACCTCATCTTAAAGTGAGGTCACTTGTGTCTACTTCACAAGTTTGTTTGGGGGATTAAATGAAACAATGCGAGCAAAAGCTTACAACACTGTGACTGTAAGAAGCAGCTCGATAAACAGCAACTAACATTAATCTTCAAGGATGACCAGTGGGGTCAAGCTGGGGTGATCACATCATGTATTGTCCACAGCAGCATATTTCTGGGTGTGAAGAAAGGACTGTATGGTAACTATGTCAGGTCAAATGGCGACGGCTACGAGGGCCTCAAGCACACCTGGGTGTGTGTGACTATCCTGGCTCCAGCCTATCACCATTCAAGGCCCAGTAAAGAAACTGGTTACATATTTTACAGTTTGTTATATCTTTTAAAGATCTTTCCTACTTCTTATTTGAGCCTTTCATAAACTGTGAAATGCAGGTCTGCGTTAATTACCCTTTGATGATGAGCAGACAAAAGCACAGGCCAAGTTTGGGCTTCTCCACAGTGACACTGTGCTGTGGGGTCAGTAAGGACCCGAAGCAACCCTCATACTCCTGCCTGCTTCCCAGCCTCCCAGCAGCGAGACAGAGGTACGTGGCTAGTTCTGGCCAATGAACTGTGGACGTGGAATTAGTCTGAGTCACTTCTAGTCTAAGGCACCTAAGAACGGGTGTGTGTTCTCAACTCTTTCTTTCACATGTCAAAGCAACCGGGAAGCCACTTTTTGAAATGCAGGTGTCACAAGATGGGGGAGGCTTGAAACCTCAAAACGCTGGAGGCAGGACAGCCACCCTGGTGCAGTCCAACTCTGGGTGGGTGAGAAATAAACTTTTATTGCACGAGGCCCTGAGATTTGGGGTGTGCTTTTCACCCTTGTAGACCACAGCCTGCCCTGGCTCAGCTAGCTAGGAGGACTAGAACCCACATCTCCAAACTCTTCCCAGTTTCCACTCAACAGTATCATAAAAATCCCACTAGGATTGGGGAAATACTGCCAAGATTAAATGCCATAGCTTACACATGGCAAGTCTTCAATGCTTACTTGATTTAAAACAAAATACTTATTTGGTTTAAAATAAAACAGTTCACACCCAGTGCCAAGTAAAAAGAAAAAAGTTCCAAAATCCAGGCTGACTTGTTCCAACACTTACATTAACCCAGGAAGCCTGGATGCCTTACTTTAAAGGCACCTAAGAATCGGGTTCCTGAAATGAAATAGCTTCAATGTCATAGCTGGCTTTAACTGAACGTTAAGTAGATGAACAGAAAAATCCAACTTGAGTATGACCAATTCTCCATCGTAGTCTGGAACATTCCTCTCTTGCTTATTCAAATCCCACTCACCCTTCAATTCTATTTTCTTTATGAAGGAAAAAAGTTTCACATCTCAAATGTTGCAAACATTTGTGCCCACAATTGCCTGGGCCAGAGGATGGCAATTTTTTTTTTAATGTAAAAGAACAGAAAGTAAATGCTTTCTGGTTTCTGAGGCACCTATTTCAACTCTGCCCTTGTAACGTAAAAGCTGCTACAGGTAACCCAGAAATGAATGAACACGACTGTGTTCCAGTTAAAACTTAATTTAGGGACATCAAAACCTCAATTCCATATAATTTTTATGAGGCAAAAAATATAATCTTTTAATTTCTTCCAATCACTTAAAAATGTAAGAATCATCACAGCCTGTCCATCTCAAGCAAGCAGAGGGCCATACCTGGCTAGCCGGCCGCAGCCCACCCACCGGGGCTTAGAAGAGGCAGGGCAACAACTGATGAGGCAACCGCTTTCTTGGGAGCAGAACACAAACACTATTATTCTCATTCTTCCACTTCCTGGTGGCTGGTGAGCCAGGGGTCTGATTCCAGGAAGGCCTGAGCTCCTGGATCGGCGGGGCTGTCAGTTCCAGAAGCACCAGCGCATGTGAAGGCAGGTGGGGTGGGTGTGGCCTCATGGGACAGACAGAGCGTTGGCAGGAGACCCTCACAGCACCCTCAAGATCCAGGGCAGGAAGCAGCCGCTGCTTTATCCACTCCAGCGAGCAGAGTTTGCGGGGGCCACCGCAAGATGACAGCCCACCAGGCTCCCATCCCCGCCCACGACCACAGCTTCAGCCTTGAGACCCTCCTTGAATTCTGGCTTTCAGAACTCCAGGTTCACTCCTGGTATCAACACACAAACTCATGTTCCTAGCTGCTGCCTCCCACCCATCAATTCCACTTCTCAGCTAGGAATCACATCTTGTGAATCACCAGGTTCTGACCTCACACGGGATCTGGCTCAGCCCGGGGCCCTGTCAAGCCACACCTGCCAGGCAGAGCGCCGGGCTGAGAGGGGCAGATGTGTGAGAGAAGAGTGAACAATCAGGTAGACAGGGAGAGGCCAGGCAGGGACAAGCCCAAAGAAACAGAAGGCCGGCAGGTAGCAGCCAAACCAGGACCGGGGCAACAGTGACTGGGGCCCCCTGCAGGAAGCCATCAGCAAAGCAACCCTGTAACAGGGCAGGTGGGGTTTCCCCACAGAAACCTTAAGGGATCCAGTCCCTGAGCGGAGCCTGGTTCAGGCTAGGACAGGAGTCAGGGTCCTCCAAGCTCTGTCTGGTCCAGGCAGCCAGGGTCCTCACTGGCCAGGCTCCCAGCGGGCTCAGTCCCACCCTCCTGGCCAGGCCAGGCTGCTCCTCTTCCTTCCTGGCTGAATGATTCTCAGTGACAAAGCCCACCTGAGGCCCTGCCTCTTCCATGAATTCTTCCCTAATTATTCCAATTCCAGTCCTCAAAGTCCCTGAACATGAGAGTTACCATTAGCACACAGCCCCAGCAGGAAGCTGAGCTCCACCATCCACCATCTTCTTACAAGTGAGTGTTGGCTCTTTGGCTCAGGTGTGAGCTGCATGAGGATGCAGCTTACATTTTTAATGTCTTAGTTTTTTTTTAATCTCCATCTGCCCCAAGAACACGTAACAGATACTCAATAATACTTATTAAACTCAACTAAAAGGTCCAACTTAGA